GACCAACAATATATATGCCATCTTCATCGGCAACTTGTTGCCAACCTCCAAGGCAAAGAGTGGTTGCCTTGTTTCCAGAAGCTCTTTGGTTCCGTGCCGAGAAAGGCAACTGAGCCATTTTTGACGTATTTTCAAAAACCGTGTTTTTTACCCACACGATGGCTTCAAGGGAATTTAAAGGCACAGTTTGCGGACCGCAAATTGCGGGAAACGGAACTCAAATAGCACAAAAAAAGTGCTAAAAGTATCTGATTAGCGGAGAAAAGCAGTAGAAAAAGCAGTCCGAAATGTTATAGAGAAAGATAACATAGTGGCTACTAGCTAGTAGCTAGCAACCGGTGAGGAGGGATCGGCAATGGGGGCCTAAGGGGTGTCCATGGGCCTAATTAGTCAGCTTCTAGCGGAGTTCTTGCCGTTTTTCACATTTTGAAAGTAGCGCAGCCTCAAAAATCGCCTTCCGGATCGTCCGACACATTTGAGAGGTCATAGCCTTATTTTATCGCGGAATGTGCCTTTAATTTAGACGGCCGGATGAAAGAGCGTAAGTCAAAGGGCTACATGAAGATTGTGCTGAACTGGCCCCAGCTAAGCTCAGGATCCTCGAGCAATGTATTTTGCGCGAGCTGTGAACGAGTAGGCAAACATTGCTTGGTTGTGAACCAAATGGTGGCAATTTCATCCCCATTTGCAGTTGATAACAGTAGGGTTCGCTGGTTACCACAGCGCTGAGAATAAGAAATACTTCATTAAAGCGAAGAGGAGAATAAACAACCACATATCAAGTTTCACGCCCTACCGATTGCGCGACCCGGTTCTTCTGCCCTTACGGGATCTAAGCCACTGGCTGCTTCCCGGGGTGATTCACCCCTAGATACACCTGCCTCCATATCCAGTTGAAACGTTGTTCAACCAGTCCGTATGGCGGAATCGGGACAGAAGTTGTCGACAGTAGCCGCACGTGCTCCCCTTGGAGTATCGGTCACCTCATGAGAAAAAATTTGACCAAACTTCAATACTTTTTGAATGGAGCGAGGCCCTCTGTCATTTGTTCTTTGTCAGTTGTAAGGACTAGATAGCAATTAGACTGCGCAAGCAATTGGTATCGAACATCAAGAGGAGTCCAAAATCCAAGGGCAGGTGGGCTGATCTGGACGAAGTTTTTCTAAATCACGTAGAAGTCACTTAAGCAAAAGCGATCGGTGTCGCGGATGCGACGGTCGCCGTTGGGCGCACCTCGCGCCCCGGCCCATCCGCGCTCGGTTCCCACGGCGTGCGCTTCACGTGCGCCGTGGTTCCGCCCCCTGCGGTCGTAGCCAGTGTAGTACGTTCTCCCAGAGGCCTGGCAAGCCGTGCCTGGTTGTTTTCACCGGGTAAACGCCAGAACGCCGCCGACGGCGGAGGGTGAAGCTCCGCTCCCGGAACGCGGAGCAGCCCGGAGCGTCGGCCAATGAGCGCGCGATGTCCACCCCCCTGCTCCCCGACTGGGAGCAGCCTCTGCTCCAGCCCCGACAAGGACATCGACGACCGCATGGAGCGATGAGGGCTACCGCCGGCAGGATGGGGGCATAATACGTATGAGGGGATGAAGCCTAACAGGCCTATTGCGTACTCAGAGGGGCAACGGCCACGGGGGCCTATTACGTGCTCAGCTATGGAACGAAGCCCACGGAGAACGGCGGCCAGGGGAGAACAATCATTGTAGTGCGGTGAGTAGTTCGTTAATAAATGATGTAGATTAATTAATGTTCTATTTGTTTATTGTAATGGTTTATACCACGGTGCTTACCTGTGTTCTATGTGTGGGTTGTTACCATGGTGGTACCATGGTGGTTGGTATACGGGGGTAGGACCACGGCCTCGTGCGGCGCGGTACGGTGGAGGCCGTGGCGGAGTTGAGGCGACGCGTTGGTCTCGTGCGGCACGGTACGGTGGGAGACGCCCCGTGACGGTTGGGGGTCGGTAGGTGCCGCCGTAGGGAAAACCCCATGGTCAGCCCCGGGAGGTTTAAGGTTCACCCTTCTGTGCGGGTCGCGCAGGAGGCGGTGTGGTCGACGAGTGGGTTGGCGGAGCCAGCGCGTTACCACCGATGTCGATCGTGCAGTCCAGGTGGCCACGGCCCGCGTAAACAATCCGTTCATTCTATCACCGTACTTGTGGAAGGTACCCATCAGACCAAAACTCAGAGGCAAATCCGTTCCCAAAAGCTCTCCGTGACTTGAAAGACCCGCTGATGTGGCTCAACTCATTTCTTACCGCTGCATCTGAGCTGTGAAAAACATTGTTTGCCATCTGTAAAAAGGCAGAGCTCCAGAAGTCGGCTCGTTTTGTAATGTCATTCCCCAGAACGATATATTATGTTTAGCATATTCCATCAACCAGAACACTGAAATAAAATGCAGCATTAACTAGGTGGCAGCCAGAGCAGCTGAAAATATCTCAAAAGCCAGAGTAAGTCTTCACCAGTTACCCATCCGTCAGAAAGTAGAAAAAATGAAAGTTTGAGAATAGCTTACTTCACGAGATATGTAGCATATGAACGGTAGTATTTCCCATTCATTTCACCCATTAGCGTTCCTGCACCCTGAAGACTTTATTTTCAAGATCACCGCTTAATACACATATACCATAAAACTCCGGTCATCAAGATGTCAGATGTTATCTGACAGGAGCGCTAACTTTTCGACATTTGTCCCTCCCCCTTCCCCTCCCCGCCCCGAATCTGCGACTGCCCAGCGAAGATGTGCCGTATCAAAGAAGTGCACCGGCGTAGGCCGGCGAGAAGACTGGTTCAGTGAAATCTAGTACAAATCAGGCTGAACTTTGACGGGATGTGATCCTGGACTTGACCATCGGACTATGCGCGGCGAGCAGCTTCACTGCTGCTAAGGTATCTACACATCCAAGCGCATAGGAAGCAGCAAATAACTTGGAATGCCTTTGGTGATAGAGCCCACCGAGAGGTTTTAGATTTTACAGAACTGGCTAATATAGCATGTTGTTGGGCACGTTAGATATCAACGATCTCATGACAGCATCACCTTCATGTGTCCATTTGATTTCATCCAACCTGGAGCGCTCCACGGCGATGCATAGAGGAGAAGGTTATCACCAGTAAGATTCTTCGCGGACAAAATGTATGGTATCTGAAAAGTAATCATTTCCAGCACTGCTCTATCAACAATATAATGGAAGCAGACTGACCATTACAGTAACTACAATATCTACAAGGAAACGCAACTGAATAAAGCCCAAAAATAGAAACCTAAGTTTGTTTACAGCGATTACCCACCTTATACTGATAATCTTCATCAGCAAGCGCGAACTTCTGCATTTCAAAATCACCGGCAGTATCCTCATAGCTGTACTCTCGTAAAGAGAAATCCGTGCTCGCGATGGGCACTCTTGCCAAATTGTATTCGATACCTGAACACGAACGCTGGTGAATCTGGCCCATCGCTTGAAGCTGCGAAAAATCGACTCATGTGTCTTGAAACTTCCCAACTGTACGTCTCGAAAGAGCTAGGTACAGATTTGATAGTCAGGCTCCCATTTCCCAATGATACAACTTTAAAGATTAGATAGCAACTCTTCGAACCCTAGCTCTGCTGGACTCTATTTGACCACCCACCAACATTGACAATGGAGAATACGATATTGCTCTCTTCATTTATGGGCAAGCTCTGATGATGATTTCAAGATTCTGAGCGGAGTGAAGTTTACCCCCTGTAGCGGAAACGCTACTTCCTATACAATATGGTGAACTTTAATCAAATGTTCAAGTTCAGTTAAGTTGTATTGATCCGCATCTTTGGCTTACTCATTCATTGCAGAATAATCGTCATTCAATTTGCCGCCAAGATATCTGTCGAATGGTCGAATTTGCAAGATCGCGCGGGAAAGAGCCCTATATAAGGGCGAGTCTGAGCAGAGACAGGGGGAGTCTCGACGAGATCTTCTTACGCAATATCCTCCAGTATTACGCAATATTCAGCACTGCTGCAATACAGAGGTTAAGAAGATAATCTAGGTATGGTTATTAAACCAACTGTTGAAGTTGGAAGTAATAAACTAATTGATCTTTCGTTTTCAGAAAGCAATAATCAATATCCAATCAATATAATCAATACCGTCGCCGGCACTTCTGGAAGACCGCCACGTATGCAAAGGAAAAGCTTCTAAGCTTCTCCCGGAAGTACATGATGCTTGACCAGTATATCGAATCTTGGCCGCAACGGAAAGATCGGGCCGACAACGTAGAAGTCGAGTGTCGAAGAGTCGGAAAATCAGGACCACAATGCGAGGAGAATAGCAGCTCGCATTCAAGAGCAACTAGCTCGTTAGGGATCGCAACATCTCGAACATTGAACACGAACTTATCCAAGCAGACAAAAGAGTACAGGATGAAAAGGAACAACTAGCAGTTCGTGTCGGCTTTCAACAAAACTTAGAAAGGCTGGAAGAGAAATTGGAAGAGATCGTGATCAAGAAATGACGAGAAATTCCCATCAATGAAAAGGAAAATTGAAGGCGAAGGGACGAAGTGCACGAAGGAACAGAGGACTTCTGGACGATGACTATGTGGATAAATTAATCGAAGAAGGCAATCTAGAGACGAGAAAGAAGACGATCAAGAAAGAAGAAAGCAATACCTGGAGCACATAGAGAAAACCCTCGACGATCTCTATCACAGGTGTATCCTGCTCCCTCATGGAAAATAGGAGAGGCTCCTGGCATCACAAGTTACATCAACTGCGCTTTCTTTGGAGAAATCGGATTCCCATTATTTTGATTCCTGCCCAACCATTACGAATGGTAAAGATCGCTTCATGTTCAGTCTGCAAGAGTATCTGTGTCAATACTGCTCAAGGAAAAAAAATCACAGGTCCAGCGACTGCAGAGCAACGGAGGAGAACTGTTAGTATCGTGACAGAGTCCGCGGCACAGCTCTTGACTTCCTATGTAGCAACAGCTACAATTATTCATTTCTTTAGACTTCCATAGCAAGTGCTAACTTGTTTGTTGTAGGCAAAATGATCTTCAGTCTTCTTCTTCACTAACGAGCTGTGTATAATTGATACGCTGATTGATAAGTATCTTTGAGGTGATAAGATTGAATATGGTATAAAAACTGATGGCAAGCCGGTATGGTTCATTCATTCAGACTACATAGCGATACAAGGACTGAGGCGCCACGTCAATAGCCTGGACTTCATCCAAGAGCAGGCATTCAACACATCCGGCAGTAGCAATAAAGCTTGTTCTCATTGCAACTCGTCGTACACAGTCAACACACAAAAACACCGCGTGGCAGCAAGCATCCTACATCCCAATATATAGTGACGATGCGCACCACTGAGCCCCCATGCAATATTCCGGACTCCAAGGACGAAATCAGCGATGTAAAGAAGAAATAAACAAGATCAAGTATCAATAAGCTGTGCGCACGTAGTGAAGCGGAAACGCTATTTCCTATATAATATGGTAATTTTTATTCAAGTGTTCAAATTCAGTTAAATTGTGTTGATCCTCATTAATGTTTGGCTTACTCATTCATTGCAGAATAATCGTCATTCAATTTGCCGCCAAGGTATCGGTCGATTGGTCGAATTTGCAAGATCGCGCGGGAAAGAGCTCTATATAAGGGCGAGTCTGAATAGCGACGGAGCTCTGTTCTTGCCGAGATCCTTCTTACGCAATGTCCTCTACGGCAGCAATAGCAGTACTACTGCAATACAGAGGCTAAGAAGATATTCTAGTCATAGCTACTTCACAAAATGTTGAAGTTGGAAGTGATAAACTAATTGATCTTTCGTCTTCAGAGAGCAAAATATATGCTAGAGAGCATATACATCGCAAGTTTTGTGGTACTTCTGTATTTTGAGAGCCCAGACTAAGTAGGGATGATCCCAAGGTCGAAGTGGCTTTCTGTAATGAAGCGTAAGTCACAAACGTGTTTCTTTACGCTGATCCCAAATCTGTCCTCGAAGTTTGCAAAACGATTCTCTGCACAGAATTATCAAGGTTTGTTCGAATGAACAGGCACACAGTCAAAAGCAATCGCCATGCAATCACCGTAAGCATCGTCATGCCAATCAGCGCGTGCATGAAATATACGCTAAAATAAAGTGGCCAGCTGGTAGCAGCAGCACGGTATAGTGGGGAACAGTTTTGCTTCACAGAAGTGAGATGAAGGCTCGTATAACAAGGGGATCCATATTTTGCATCTTGTGGGGAATGTCTTTTTTTCGAGTATCGCAAACATTGGAGGCATGTGATTCCTAGTCTCACTTCCGTCAGGGCTGTTTCAATAGGATAACGAATAAGCTCTCTCGCAGAATTCCCACCACTGGTTGTTTTTCTCCTGAATCAACCATTCAGCGATCACCGTTGCAGAAGCAAGACAGCCGGCCTCCAGCACCGCCCCGACTGCTTGCGTCACCATTCACAGAGAACGAGAGTCGCTTGCAAAATGCAAAACTCTGCAACCGAAAAGGCCAACACAATTTTGAGACGCTCTCCAGGGAAGGGTGGTAGGATGAATGGTTGGCCATCCATAAATAGAAAAAGTATCATACCACCCTGATGTATTGTGTCTTTCGATACTGAATGTGGTGCAGTACTCAGCCGTAATGTTTTTGGCCTCAGGTCTGCGATTCGATCGCTACTTGTCTCTCATTCAAAGCAACTTTGCGCCGGGAGCTTTCATTGACTGTAGCATGCTTTCCCAAAAACCTCCGTGACTTCCTCCGAAAAGGTATGCAGCAGATGTGGAAGAAGAGATTGTGATGGACGTTTGAAGACATACCAAGGTATGTAGCTGTTTTAGCTGCAGAGCCTGGAGCACGTCAGGGAGGTGGGTGGGTTTGACACAGCTCCAGCCCCAGCCTGTTTTTCTACTTACTGTTGTCACTTGCCCGCTTGAACAGATTATGGAGAAAGGGCTCGAGACGCGCCAAACCCATCCCCTGGCATGTCCCATATTCTGCAATGGAAACGCGAGTGCGCATTTCAATCCGAACGGCTACTTCGATCTACCGTCCTTCTTTAGTCAATAGAATCGTTCAAGGGTAATAAATCCAGTGAGTCGCACATAGAATAAAGATACTTGCCATTCTTGCCGAAGTACGATTCCAGTAACTTCTTCTGTGTCTCCTCACTGAGCGAACGTAGATTGATGCCCACCGCGTCCGTAAATGCTCCACCAAAGCCGATTATTGATTGGTGCGATTTTCGCGCGTCAATTGTTATCGTGACGTCACCTGATAGATGACTGTAACAGCGAGCTTCATGTAACAGTGGGTGCTACACAAGGTATTTTGAAACTCACTGTTGGCAGTTCCTTCAGAAATCGGGACGCTAGACCTTTCAAAGCGTTTACCGCTACGCGATGAGGTGTACAGAATGGCATTCCCGGCCGGGATTTCTCGTGCGGGCTGAAAGTACTGTGTAATCTACTGATAATGAATCGTGGTGTGAGTGGAACACATTCTCCTTCGGGTTCATCCTGGATGTGGAGCCACCTCTGACATCAACTACTGCACTATACCATAGTATTGTATGATATCTATGGATATAGTGCATATGATATCTGGTGTGCTTCAATTTAGCCATGATTCACTTCTAAATTTTTTCTCTTTGCAGCACGTCCTTTAAATGTAATAAAATAACAAATAAAATATTTACTAATTACTTCAGTATGGCATCCAATGTGTTCCAGTCAGTTTAACCTCAGTGCGAAATCTAGGTCAATCAACGGTATCATCCTGAGTTGCCTTCCTACTATTTTACATTGTGATTGACCAATGAATGATATATGATAAAGGGGTTAGCGCCCAGTCTCCAGGACTCGTGTTTGTTATCGGATGTCAGGTTCTTGGTTCCTTTAATGCGTCGAGCCCATCTGTAGTTTCTGCCATGGTCCTTTCACGGTGTATTTTTTTTATACTTTTTTATGTGTATACATACTATACAGTCCTCATCATTGCGGACCGGTGGGGCGTGGCAGTGCGGCTGCGTTTGGTGCGGTTTGGCAAAATCGTTCTGCACCAGTTTTTGAAGCGGACAAGTGCATTACTGTATTGTATCCTTCGTATTACTCGTTTTCTCGTTTCAATAAAAAAGGCTGAGAACGGCCTTCAGCAGTGTGCGCTCCTCTTTCTGGCTGACACCGGTCCCCACCGGTCCGTAATGGATGAATAACTGAGTATACTATTATTTATCACGCCCGTGTATGGAAATAAATAAATAAATAAATAAGTACTTGAATTGCTTAAACCTCGTGGTGTTGCTAGTGTACATTTATTATGGGAGCTGTTTTCCATTATGATGAAGTGTATCTCAAGAGTGCTTGTTATGCCAGAAATCTTGAACCCTACGTGGTCAGTGACCACCAGCCGACGTTCACCGCAAGCACGCTCTGACCCGATCAGCGATTCCTACCCGTTTTTTCCTACGACTGCTCTTGCAGCTACGCGATGTACGCATTTCAGCAGCGTCGTCGGTATGGTCCCGCAAAACATTCACTCGGGAACCTGGGCGACCAAGGTTTTTACCAACCAGTACACCCAAGGCAGCTTAAACGTGGCGTTGAAACGCACCCCATACGCCGCTCCGCGTAGGAACTCGAAGCCCTGCACCGAAGAACAACGGCATTTAAAGGGTCGCAACAAAGTAGCACCGTCTAGGCTGGCTGGGCGTATGGCTGGTCGTGCGCCGTGTTGTGAATTAGTGACGCGCTTCGCTTGTAGCGCGTGCATGATGAGCACTCACTCATCTCAAAACTCAAGCTCCATGGAAAAGCAATTCTACACGGGAGGGGGGAGGGGCAAAAAAAGTTCACTTCGACCGAGTCACATATCAGCAAAGTTTTCGCTGCCCAGACAGAGGACGTGGATACGAGTACCAGGCGGCGGAAGATACCAAGCATATTCCTCACGAACAGTCAGAGCTAGCTCTCGCCATCACTTTATGTTACAGGGCCAAAAATATAGAGTCATCTCGCTAGTCGTCAGCTAACTGGAGAAAACTTTGGAATTCATGTTCACCGTTCCAAACAGCATGCGAAATCTTCTAGTTGGGAGTCACGCATTGGTTAGCTACTGCCTTGTCGGCACAAGTACTCTCTCGATCTGGATGACCTTCAAACATCGAGCAGCTCCGACAACGTCGCTACGGTCTAGGACATCATCTTCACCACAGTCGCCAAGGCGCGGGTTGATGGTATGGACCGGACGTACCTGGAATGGAAAGACCAATATTTTCTTCGTGGACCCGGACTGAAGGTGAGCGCTGGCGGTTACATTGAGCAACTCGTGAAGAATATCCTCCTCACATGTCGTCGCCCGTACCTTCTTGGAAACTTTGTACTGCTACAGCATTGGGTGCCACCACATGGAATCGAAGGGCGTTGGAGAAACTCTCGCCTACTTGGAATGGAAGGGGGCTGAGTACCTAAAGAAGATGGAATATCCAAGTAGGTCACCTGAATCCCCTCAATTACCCGGTTCGGGCGGAGTTCAATAGGGTGGTCTACGGTGGCGGAGAAATCGACTATCTCGCTGATCTCAGGCACCACATCGCGGTCGCGTGCCAGAATCTCTCGATGGCGCTCGTCCAGAAGGCTGTGGCGGAGTGTCATGATAGTATTTAATATGCTCTTTGGTGGTAAAAATGTCCGATCAGAATTCAATAAAGTGTAACTTATAGCGCCTCGAAAGTCAATGAAGAGAAGTGACTTTTTGGCCCCTCTGTATGTTGCGTATAGTTGATAACGTCGCATCAGTCGTGGCGGTGTCAGGAAGAGAGAGTGGAACAAACCTCCTTTTGCTTCATCAATGGTGATCTCTTAAAGGTCGATTCAGGAAGAAAGCAACCAGTGGTGGAAACGCTCAAGTTGTGCAAATTCCAGCCCTTTTGAGACCGCCCCGAATACCTGCGAGGGTATCAGCTGTAGGTGTCCTCGCAATTACTGGGTGCAGTCAGCTGCAGACCTGCCCCTAATCCAAGGGAAGGATCGACCCACAGGTATGAGCACAATGTGCCTTCGAGGTGATTGCTCATTAAAAAGTTCCTGTTTAGGCTGCGTTTATACTTTGCGGCAGCGTAGCGTAGCGCTTCCAGCGTACGCCAGCGGCAGTGCCGAAGAGAGGATGCATATCGATCTAGCTTCACCAGCGTCACCAGCGGCACGCTGCGCGTGGCGTAGCGAGGGCACGGGAAGCATAGCTATCGATCTAGCTTCACCAGCGTTTCTCGAGCGTTTCTCCAGCGGCACCAGCGTTTTGCTAGCGCTTGCAGCGGCAGGGAGTAGAGACTATGTGGCCGTGAGAGACGCGGAATCGACGTGTATTGTAGAGAC